AGCAATAAATGTAGACTATGTAGTGTTTGTACTTTGTAGTGAATGAAGTGGCAGAATCAATTGACAAAATAAACTCGCCGGATCCCATCAATAAATCCAATCTCATCTCCTTGGTGCGTTCCTCTGTACAATATGGAGTTCTACCTTCTTTCATCTCTTCCTCTTTCATTCTCTAAATCCTTTTCTCATTTATGCTTTTCACTTTTTTCTTTTTAACTTCTCGGCGGTTTCGAATACTGAGTAATTGGATCCGTCAAGATATGGAGAATACGAAACTGACATATCGTCATGATTTATGGTGTCCGACATAAAGGACCTTGATCTGTATTCTATGATCACAACTGGAATACTGCTCTGGTGCCAATTGAAAAGTAGGTGGGACGTAAATAGAGTACGCAAGGTATGTTCGAACACCGGCCGCAGAACTCTTTCATTAACAGATCAGTTTGAGCGTACAAAATACTACTTAGACTTGCATGACTTGAGACTCCCTCCTAGTTTAGCTAGTAATATACCCAACTCTATCAACTACTTCCCTAGCCACCAAGCGTGAACTTCGTAAGTAGCTACGAATCCCTTCTAGCTACATACGCACTTAATCCCTTAGCACTAAACATATTTGTGAACAAAGAACAATCTCAGTTCTCATTGTTGTACAATCACTTAATCAAAAGAAAATAAAACGCAAAGCTCACGAACACTCAATAAAGTTTGAAAGTAATGATCTTCGATCATAACAACAACCTTCAATTGAATCTTCGATCAAGCTTATATACATTCTGCTAAAGGTAAGAAGTCTTCTCAAAGTTTCTCTTCCCTTGTGAAGTCGATTTCCTTCCTAATTGATTCCTTCAAAACTTGGACAAGAATTCTCCAGCCGTGTGGATTCTTCAAAACTTAAGCTCGATCTCCTATTGACTGGAATATATGATCGGCTCCTCTTTTCCGTAATGGAATCCTTCATACAATAAATAGAACACATATTATAGTACTTGAGCACACATAAATAATATTACTAGATACTAATATATATACTTACCATATTAACTAATGTAGTATCTAGATGTAAATAGATATAGAGACTAGATCTTTCCTTATAATTGCTTTACTTGCATGAAAAACATCAATATATGATTTTTGAACTTTTGCCAAAATAAATCTTACAGATATCCACACCAGTAATTATAAAAAAATGTATGTAACTCATGAGTGCAATTTCTAAGACACGATTGAAAAAAAATAATATGTATATTTATCAACTAAATGTAATGATGTCACGTTCAATAGTATCACCTCCTAAAATGTTGGTCCCTTCGAAGTACGAATGTCCTTTTCATATAGTAAAAATGATCCAACACTCCAATTGAAATGAAATATAGCGAGAGAACAATCAACAAATTATGATTTATAAAAGTGGACGAGCTGAAAAAAAAAATACCTATCTACTATTCGTGTAAAGAATATATATTTCAATAATTTAATTTATTAATAATATAAATACATTTTGTTAGTGGGGTTAATAGTCAACGGTAAAGATAGAGAATAGTTTCAAATATAAAATAATCAATATTCGAAAGATTTGAATTGTCCATGTTTGTTGCTTTTCTCTTATAAACAAAAAAATTGTCAAAAAACAATAAATAAAAATTTACAGTTTTGATCCTTTGACCACATAGAGCCTTACATGTTTGTTCTAGAAAACAATAAACTATATCCTGCTGTGTGTTTAAATTTATTACACACATTTACAAACTCAAAATTTCCCGACATGTTTGAGATTTTGAAACGCATATGGGGTTTTTTTTAGTTTTGTTCAGTGAGTGAGTTAGTTGTGTATATTGTAGGCTTCCTTCGGAGTAGTCCTCTTAATTAACTCAATTGACAATTTTGTTATGAAGCCAGTAGTTGGCTCCATAGTTGAGCCAATCTTCTATATGCAACAAGTAAACTATACTATATTAATAAAATTATTATTATTATTTAAGTAATCAGTGAATATGGTATGGTTTATTTGTTGTATATAGAAGGTTGGCCCCACTATGGAACCAACTGTTGGCTTCATAGCAAAACTGTTCAATTGAATAGCTTGNAAATCCGTTGAATAGATGCTTTATCCGGCTGTACTAGTTATAATCTAGATGTAAATATCCACTCTATATATAATTACAGAATGCGCTGAACTTACGTGGCAAACTCTCATACTTCGGAATCCTATTTGCCAAAAAATTATGCTTTGGAGTTAGGCTTGGATATAAATTAAAATTTTTTTGCCATAAACTATTTTATATCATATATGTTATAGAAATTAACTATCTTTTAACAATTTTCGATTGACATTTATAAAATACAAAACAGTAATATATATTCTTATAAATAAAATTTAAATTTATTTATCAAACTAAATTAAATTATATCAAATAAAACTATAAATTATATTATAAAGTAATAGAAATTGGTATGTATTCTTTTAAAAATGGTATTTATTTCAAATCTAATTGGTATGTTGTCAATCTAATAAAAATAAATAATTATTTATCTAAATCTAAAATTACATATAAAGTTAAAAAACTGTGAAGCACGACTGATACGACACTTGATGTATTAGGCATCTAATTAAGTAAAAAATTAATTTTTTTTGCTTAATATTAAATAAACATATTCTACACGCATATACATATCACCATATTATTTCTATTTATTTAAGATATATATTTTTGTACTTATGTAATAGTAAATAATATCGATATTTTTATATGATATAAGTAAAAAAATTCAACACGGGTTGACATTTTCATTTAATGTACAAGTGTTTAATTATTATGATTTAAAAAATATAATTTGATTATTTAATTAAAATCCAAAGTAATGTTTTATATCAAATTAAATTATTTTAGTTTTTTTAAAAAATAAAAAAATTATTATTTTTTACAAAAACTTTATAATTTAACGCCCGTATAATATTGTACTAGTTGATTTTATTTATAAACTAGTATTCGACCTGTGCATTTGCACAGATATAAATAAATTATTGTGAGTCTGTATGCATATAATGATTAATTATTTTTCTTTCACTTTTTTGCAGACCAAATTTACAATTAAAAGAGTTGGAATATTTTTTTTTTTAAATTGCGTTTACCTGATTGGATGTAATGTATATTTTGGTACGTCTTTTATTTGTGAATTATTTACTATTTATTTAGAAATTTTAAATATATTTTATATTTTCAAAAAAAATTAAATGTAACAACAATAATAACATCTAATCACATTATACGGTCAACACATTATATAGTCAACTGTCATTAATTAAAAGTTTAAAATGATTTTTGTAATTTTGAAGTGATGAGTATTAATTATTTAATGATTAAATGAAAGACTAAATACATTAAAATGTAACGATTTTTGAAGGAAAAATTGTTAAATTGCCACATAGGCAAAATTAAATAAGTTTTATTAAATGCTATTAACTAATAACTAGTACGTAGCCCGTGCTATGCACGAGACATAAGTATTAAATGAGTCATTTCCATATAGTTTGTCCGTTAAGTAGCTCGTGCGATTCACGGGAGATATTAAATGAGTGGACCATAGAGCTTGTCCGTTCAGGCCTAAAAAATAATAGAGTTCTTTTTACATCTTTTCATCAACGTCATTTTTTTTTTGTCGGAACATTAAACCTGAGTCTGGTAGCGCAAGTCCGTAAATTAATTAATATATTATCTCGCTCACATGTTTATAATAATATAAATTTGATTTCATTATATATATATTTATTCCTTGATATAAGAAAAATAACAATTTTACGTAATCTAGTTTCTCGTATAGTACTCATATTATTTTATTATAAAATTTATTGTAATATAATTTCATTATTATTATTTATGCAAGTTATAAATGCAGTCTTCTTCTTCTTTTTGTTTTATATAATTAAAATATTTAATGTATGTTCATATTATTTATTAATGTAATTAATTTAAATTATGTAAATAAATTTAAAGTAAAACATTTTGTACAACCATTTTACAAAATATACACAAATATTTTTTAAAATTTAATTTTTTTATAATAAATAAACATCTTTGAAATTCTATACAATTATTAAATATCTTTGATATAAATTCGAAATCATAATTGAATTCTATGCAATTATTAATTCTGTCCGATGTTATGAGAAACAAATCATTCGGAAATGATTATATGTAAGTTGAGATAAAATGAAATGTATCAAAAAAATCTGCTTATGATATTTTCCTTTAAATGTTTGAATGAATTTGAAATTCAAATTACAAATCAACCTCCAGTTATTCAAATAATTTTAAAAAAGTTACCAATTGTAGTAAAATGTACGTGACAATATATTATAAATATACATGACGTCAGTAATGTTATGACTCTTTAAGTTCTTAGATATGAAACTAATTAACTAATATGTTAAGAATATATATATAAATATATGTATTGTACAAAATATACACGTGACAAATTATTATATTTGTTTATATATTGTTTGAATTGTTTATTATATTTGTATATAAATATGTTGTTTATATATTTTTCTGTATTGTACGACAAATTATTATATTTGTTTATATATTGTTTAAATATATATTGTTTAAATATTAAACTAATTAACCTATATGTTAAGATAATATATATAAATAAATGTATCGTATGAAATCTTTAACGTGTTTGTTAAATTTTCCCCCTAAAAAATTCAAAATACATTTAAGCATGTTTTGTTTGAAATTTGAAACGTAAATATGCATCTATATAACAAATCCCATAATTTATGCTAGCATTAAATGCTATTTGATTTTTTATTAAAAAAATTAAAAAAACATACCAAAAATAGAATGAAATTAATATTCCCTATTTTTTTATTTACTATTTTTTAAAAATATTAATTCTTATTATATATATATATAGATTATATATATATAGATTATATTGTCTCTCCCGGGAAAAAGGAAAACAAGCGAAAAGGAGGAAATTACAAGGCAAAACAAACTGGCACATTGTATTTGTACGTTGTACCATATTGTACAACCCATTGAAACCTCGCTTAAATACCCTCCTAAGATGTAAAACCCTAATCAAATTCAAACCCTTACGCCGAGAATTTGACTGCAAGAGAGTGAGAAAATGGGGAAGAGTGTAAAGAGAGAAGCAGGGCAAGCTGATGCATCCATGGTGAGTGGCGGTTCTGAAAAGCACACGAAAAGGAAGAGGAAAAACACGGAAAAAGGGGAAGAATCAATAAACAACTCAGTACCTTTAGCAACTAAAAAGCCCACCATCACCATTGCTCTTCCTGGCTCCATTATCGACAACGCTCAGTCTCTTGAGCTTGCGACCCGCGTATATTCTTCGCACTCGTTGTATTTTCTTTGAAGATTGCGACTCTAGTTTTTAGTTGTATGGAACTATTCAAAGCTATAATTGATCTCGACTTTCATTTTTGCCTTCCTTACAGTTAGCCGGACAGATTGCACGCGCTGCTACAATTTTTCGTATTGATGAGGTCAGTCTCCATTTCATTTTATATAAAAGTATCATCTGGAGGATGGAATCAGATTCGTATATTTTTTTTATCGTATTTATCTTGTTCATGCTTTGTTATGGGTTATATTATTTGTGAGTTGTCCAAGATTGTTGCAGTAAAATTAGGAATCCCTTCAATCTATTTTGAAATTGAAATTGATGGCAGTTGTTTTTCTTCCTGTTTTTATTGTAACAGGTGGTTATATTTGATAACAAGAGTGTATCCAGGGATGTATCAGCTGAAACATTGGAGAATGATTTGGGCGAGGATGAGAGTGGTGCTGCTTTTCTTGTGAGAATCTTGAGGTATCTTGAGACTCCACAGTATCTGAGAAAGAGTCTTTTCCCAAAACATAACAGTTTGAGATTTGTGGTGGGCATCTGATAACAGCATTATATCATTTAGAGAGAACAAAATATCTCTATTGATTCTTGTTCAAGACCTTTTTATGTGTTTCTGCAGGGACTTTTGCCCCCACTCGATGCTCCACACCATCTGCGCAAGCATGAATGGGCTTCTTACAGGGAAGGTAGCATTCTGACCCTTCACTGTAACTAATTGTTTTCGACTATATTATTGCTTTATTTATTTGATGTACACCCTGGTGAATATGCATATCTCCATGCTTGCTGATTTCAAGCATTATCTTCCTGATTATTTTTACCTGCTCTGAGTTCAGATATTTGTAGTTTTATTTTTATTGATTTTGATTTTTTGATTCTTAATTGGAATAAGTATCTTAATAGTTTCACTTCATGGTTTTGATTTTGATGACTATGGTCTAATTTAGCTATATATAAAGTCTGACAGATTTTTAAGATCCGTCTAATGCATTTAGGATTATAAATCTGAAATTCGGATATGAGCTTTTCAGTTTTTTCTGCATTATGTATATCTCTTATCAGTTTTATATATGATATGCTACACTTCTGAGGTGCGTGTATACTGTATAGTTTCAACTTTCAACACTAGGTCTGAGTCTCCATTCTCTTCCGGTCATACATATGTAACCATCGATGTTCATGCTTTCATATGTATGGTGCAAAGTATGGGCATATGATGGCATACACTTGATCTCTGAATTTCAGGTAAGTTCTTGTGGACATTCGACTTACTGATGCCTATTACTTTGCACCTTTCAAGTGTTTTCTTGTTTTGGATAGTAACTACTTGATGGTTGTCCAACCGTCTCAGGTTTTAGTCTTTGGCACATTTATGGATGAGCATCCATGTATTTATTGATGTTTTGAAAATTTAGAATCATTTGTGGATTTACATTTTGCATGTTTATACATTTTTGTTGTTGAAATTTGGGGTAATGTCCGGGCATATGATGGCTTACACTTGATCGCTGAACTTCAGGTAAGTTCCATGTCGATGATTTATTTTAGCTGATGCCCTTGACTTTTCTCTGCCCCTTGAGCATGTGAATTAATTTGTTCTTTTGTTTTAGACCTGGATATATTTTTTTTCTTTCTAATATTATCA